GATCCCTTGCCTGATTCTACAAGACAATGTGCTTTCCTTTCCCACATTCGGCTGATTTTTCAAGGGCTGCTGCAGAAATAGCACAAACCACAGTTTCTAACAAGGCGCAACAGTCCAAGCAGTTCCTGGATAGGGAGAGAAAATAACACAGAGGCAGCAGGAGGCTGAGACAGGAGAATTGCTTAAATCCAGCAGGCAAGGCAGAGGTTCCAGTGAGCCAAGATCATGCCAGTGCACTCCAGCCTGGGCAACAGAGCAAGACTCCATCTCAAAAAAACAAACAAAAACAACTTAAGATGATTCTGTAGGCACCTGTTGCTACAGAGGTGTGTGAAAAGTGGGGAGTGGGATCCAACTCAGTCGGGAGCAATCAGAGGAGGCCTCCCTGAGAAAGTGAAATGGAAGTGAAGTCTGAAGAGCAAGTAAGACGTTAATTCATATGAGGCTGTGGGGAGTGTGGAGTAGAAAGAAGGAACTGCATTTCCAAGGACACCACGACAGGAGGACTGGATGGTGGGCATGGACACAGATGATCCTGGAGGCAGGCAGGTGCTCAGGGAGCTGGCAGCACAGTGGCTGGGACTGGGTTCAGGGTCAGAGGGAGCTGGCTACCTTCCTCCTCTGGCCTTCTTCCCGCTGGGCAGCCCTGTTCTTGTCAGTCAGCTCTCTTACAACAGGGATTCCCAGCTCCCAGCCAGCCCTGAGAGGGGTCAAGATTCCAGCAAGGGCTGTTTTATAAAACATTGAGCTCTCTTATAAAACACACTGGGGAGAGTTAAGTAGAGGTAGAAACTTCTTCCCTTCAGAAGGACCTTTCCATTTCCTCCAAACAGGCATACTCACAGCAGAGACTGATTTTAGAACAACTTGCATTCAGCAAATAGCCATCAGGATCTTTAGGCAGTGGCACACTGTACAGAAAGTTAGGTCATCTTGCTTGCTTGCTTCTCTTCTGCCCGCGCCCAGCCCAGGCCCCCACCCATTGTGCCGCATGTTACTCTGAACTGACAGCTCTGGCACCTGGACAATTGTGCATTATTTTGTATGAGAACATTCCTAAGCCATAGAAAATTCTCCTCCTCCACTGTCCCTATTCTCACCATAAATACACAAATGCCCCCCTCAATCTTCAAAGTAATTAACAGTCTTAAGATCAGCAGTTCTATTACAGCTCACCTTCTGAAGTGAGGTCACCTGTTATTGAGGTTTAAGACCCCAGCACACAGCTGCCATTCCTTCTCAAGCTGTTAACTGTGTCTGGCTCAATGTGGGTGGCTTTAACAAAATGCCCTAGACTTTGGTCCAAATCTTTCAAGAACCATGGGCTATATACTGCAGGCTTAGGTCTGACATCAGGGTGCCAGCAAGATCTGGTTCTGGGGAGGATTGTCTTCTGGGCTGCAGACTGCTGACCTCTTATTGTATCCTCACGGTGGAAAATAAAAGCTAGAAAGCTCTCTGGGGTTCCTTTTATGTTACTTCCCAAAGTCCTCACCTCCTAATGCCATCATATTGGGGTAAGAATTTAAACATATGAATTCTGAAGGGCACAACATTCATTTGATAACACTGTGTGTTACTTTTCTTTTTATAGAAAAGGAAATGGCAAAAAGTAACATTTCATTACTTTGTTTCAGGCGTTCTGGAAGGTACATGTCTTGCGGTGAAAATCATGGTGTCAGACCCCCAAACCCAGAGCAGTATTTGACTCCTCTGCAGCAGAAAGAGGTTACAGTGAGACACCTAAAGACCAAGCTGAAGGAATCTGAGCGCCGACTCCATGAAAGGTGAACCTACCTTCCTTGCACAGTGGGGTTTGTGACAGCTGCTTTTTCCATAAAATGAAATATGAACCCAAACTACAGAAAGAAAAGAAAAAGTGATTGTATTCAGTTTTTGTCAAATTTTTAAAATCAGCCTCTGAAAAGAGCCATTTCCTAATTCTGTGTGATTTGACTGTTGCAGGAGTTCAGGGAGGCCTGTAGGTTAGAGGGGATCCTTTTGTTGTTGTTGTTGTTGTTTTCCCAGTGTGTACAGCTTTGAGGTGAATAATTGGGTGTGTGCATGACTATTTTTAAATGGCAAAAACACGTGCAGGAACAATCCCATACTTCCAGCAGAATAGGTAATTAAAAGTGAACTGGCCTTTTCTTCCACAGTGGTCACACACCATGGACCAATTAAGCCCTGTTTATATTCGTGCACGAATGGATATCTATGTGCATTGTGATTCCTGCATGCTATTTTTGTGCTGAAGGAAGGGACTCATTGTTCTTGGCCAAGTGTTAAGGTTGAAAAAAAAAAAAAAAAGCCCATGCTTAAGAGATCTTATCTTGGAGAGAAGACCTTTGACATCTTGGCAGCAGGCCAGTTTTTCTGCTTGATGATTTTCCCCTGGAACATTTTGGAACAGACCAGAAAAGCTCTGACCAGTGTAGCTGCGAGTTCAGGTTGAAGGTGGCATTCACATTCTCTAAGAGTCTGGGTTAGCTACCTGATCAGCTCAAACCTCCTCCTCTGCCGCCACAAAGATATGGAGAAAACTCAATGACCTTGGTTGCTAAAACTGTGGGGAGATAAGGGCACAGACTATGAGGAAAGGACATTTTTCATCTTCCAAATTAATTTGGTTCCTCATCTGTCTGAAATAGAGCTGAGACCCAAACTCCCTTCTGGGGTGAGTCAAACCCTGAGTCTGGAAGTGTTTGGTCTGTGGTTTGAGGAGTTCATGGGAGGATTTGAGCACTCAAGGGAGAAAGAAATGAGAATTTAGCAAATCTTGGGAAAATATTCTAGCCTAAACTTAAAGAACAATATTGAGGTTTCTTTACATATATGAGGATCCTGACTACTCGGACTTCCTGTCCACTGAGAATGTAAGGACTGACTATGAAAAACTTATATGTAGGAAAGAATTTATATACAAATATCTTGAAATAGTGTTGTCCTGTGAAGGATCTAAAAATTAGGATAGATTCTCCTTCATGTAGGATGAATTCAGTATTATCCTGAGAGGAGATCGAATAAGCAGTTGTCAATATGTAAAGTCCCTGCCACTGTAGCATTTTATGATTTCCAAAATGTTTATCATTGGAATGCCATCAGAACAATTTAGCAAGGCAAAAACTTACCAGTCTACCTTCTGTCTTTGATAGGTAATTAAAAGTGAACTGGCCTTTTCCTCCACAAACTATAGACATTAGGAACAGGTAGGCTATGGAGATAAAAACAGGCTAAGAGATGCTAAGTTGTTCTAATCATAAAGTTTCAAATATTAAGGATTGAGTAGAAGACTTGTAACACACTTTGGGCAATGTCTGACCCATAATGAGTACTGAAAAAAAAAAAAGGAAATTGTGGTAGCTATTTTGATTCTGATTCTGATTACTATTATTACTTTAGCTATTTTACAATTAAAGAGAAAGTTCATGGCTAATCTCTGCCAAAGAGAAAATGCACTGCTTCTTTAAGTTTAGGCTGGAATATTTTCTCAAGTTGTGCTGTATTCTCTTGAGTTCCCTGCATTCAAAACTGATTTCACATCTATATTTCAAGTGGAAGAGTATGAGTTCTTGGCTCTTTGCCAGAACTGCCTGTTGCCCAAATCAAAGTTATTTATTTATTTATTTTTATTAACCATGCTTTTCTTGGCACTCTAGGGAAAGTGAAATCATGGAGCTTAAGTCCCAGCTGGCCCGCATGCGAGAGGACTGGATTGAGGAGGAGTGCCACCGAGTAGAGGCCCAGTTGGCACTCAAAGAAGCCAGGAAAGAGATTAAACAGCTCAAACAGGTCATCGAAACCATGCGGAGCAGCTTGGCTGATAAAGATAAAGGCATTCAGAAATATTTTGTGGACATAAACATCCAAAACAAGAAGTTGGAGTCTCTCCTTCAGAGCATGGAGATGGCACACAGTGGCTCTCTGAGGGATGAACTGTGCCTAGACTTTCCATGTGATTCCCCAGAGAAGAGCTTAAACCTCAACCCACCTCTTGACACAATGGCAGATGGGTTATCCCTGGAAGAGCAGGTCATGGGGGAAGGGGCTGACAGGGAGCTGCTGGTGGGAGATAGCATAGCCGACGGCACAGATTTGTTAGATGAGATGGTGACAGCCACCACCACAGAATCTGGTGACCTGGAGCTTGTGCATTCCACCCCTGGGGCTAACGTCCTGGAGCTGCTGCCCATGGTGGTGGGTCAGGAGGAGGGCAGTGTGGTGGTGGAACGAGCCGTCCAGACCGACGTGGTGCCTTACAGCCCTGCCATCTCGGAGCTCATTCAGAATGTGCTGCAGAAGCTCCAGGACCCCTGTCCATCAAGCTTGGCATCCCCTGATGAGTCTGAGCCAGACTCGATGGAGAGCTTCCCAGAGTCCCTCCCTGCCTTGGTGATCGATTTAACTCCAAGAAATCCAAACTCAGCCATCCTTTTGTCTCCCGTGGAGACCCCGTATGCCAAGGTAGATGCGGAAGTTCATGCAAACCGCCTCATGAGAGAGCTGGATTTTGCAGCCTGCGTGGAAGAGAGGTTGGATGGGGTCATCCCACTGGCTCACGGGGGCGTCATGAGGCAGTACTGGAGCAGCAGCTTCCTGGTGGATTTCCTGGCTGTGGCTGCCCCCGTGGTCCCCACGGTTCTGTGGGCATTCAGTACTCAGAGAGGGGGAACGGATCCTGTCTATAACATCGGGGCCTTGCTCAGAGGCTGCTGCGTGGTTGCCCTGCATTCACTCCGCCGCACTGCCTTCCACATCAAAACCTAAATAGAAGTTGTTGTTACCGTGTGCCAATGTGTCCCATGTGGGTTGTGCCAGGTAGAGAAACAGGAGGTTGATCTGTGACGGTCTCTATTCTGTTGTTTTGCTCCTCGGTATTTGATTTGCACTATATTTAGTTGAAGCCTGTTCACTGTTTAAAACCAGAGGTATCTTCAAAGGCATGGAGACCTGGTTCCAGTAAATGTCCCACCAGTGCAGTATAGAAAGCATGCTCATGACCCTGCCGTGTCGTCTGAGGTACCCGTTCTTATCCTAGTGGTTCAGGAAGAGAAAAAGCAGTTTGCACTTTCAAGACAGCTTCTCTAAGGCTGGCATGTTATCTCCTTGCTTTGCTTTGTGCCGTTTTAAAATGTGTAATTGTTCCAGCATTCCAATGGTCTTGTGCATAGCAGGGGACTGTAACCAAAAATAAACATGTATTTGTGTAATTGGTTTGAAGAAGTCTTGAATAGCTCTTTAGTGTCTTACTTGGGGTTAATAAGATTTGAGTGTTTGCAATTTTTTGCTAAATGTAGCTCCAAAGTCTTAAATGGCTTGTGTGTTCTTAAACTGTTAATTGATGAAACTGTGTGTAAGTTTACAATGTACTAACTTATTTTTTTTGCTTATTATATATAGTGTTTTATTGGAAATTGTAACCACACACTTCAGCATGATGAAAATAAAGATTAGTGTTTCCATTTAAATAAATGTTTTATCCTCCTATAAAATAATTATTTCTGTGATTTTACTTCTATGTATAAGGAAAACAATAAATAGCAAATCTTACACTTTATCAGTAGGGGTCTGTAAGAATTGAAATAAATGAGAAAGAGGGAAAAAGACTTATTAAAAAAAGGTGAAAATTTCCTACCCTTACTTAAAAAGCATCATTTCTGAATAAAAGTAGCTTTGTTTGCTCTTAAATACCCACGCACTTGTTTGTCCACGTTTATGCAGTAAGTACATCTTGAAGGTTTTCAGGAACATTGGGTTGATTTCTCTTAGGCATGCTTAAGAGTGTGCAGGAGAGGGAGAATATAGTAGTGCCATATAGCTTCCTTCCCCAGAATGAGGATGAGGGCTGGTGGCTCGGAAGGGATAAGAAGGTATTTGATCTATAACCATTTGGTGCTTACACCAAAATTTTGAGATTAGCATTTTACGCATATAAGGGAGCTAAGCCTCAAAGAGGAAAAATGTTCAGGATCTCAGAGCTCATCTCCAGAAGCCATGATTTCAAGTGTTTGCAAAAGCCTTTTCTACTTTACCACACAAAGAGAAGAGACCTGGAGAATACCCTAAGTTCTCATACAGAAACTCTTCTTCCATAGTCTTTATCACCTTTAAACATACCATTTTTTTTTTTTTTACAATGCCTTGGTCATCACCCATCTTCCATACTATATATTAACTCCATAAGGGCATGGATCCGTGTTCTGTTTTGTTCACAGATGTATGCCAAGAACCTAGAACAAATGAAAGAAACAATAAGACTTAGTATTTGATAGCACAACAGGGAACCTATAATCAATAATAATTTAATTGCACATGTTAAAATAACTAAACGAGTATAATTCAATTGTTTTTAACACAAAGGATACTTGAGGGGATGGCTACCCCATCTTCCATGATGTGATTATAACACACACATTGCATGCCTATACCAAAATATCTCATAGGCCCTATATAGACACCTACTGGGTACCCAAAATTTTTTTTTAAATATTTTAATTTTCTAAAAATAAATTAAAATTTAAAAAGAACTGAGTACAGTACCTGGCATATAGTGGGAAGTCTAGAAATTGCTGTTGAATGAATGAATTAATCCAGCAAATACTTACCAGCTACTCAGATGCTAACTAGGCACTTTCCAGGATGGGTCTTAAATAGTGAAAGAGACAAGAAAGAGACAGACAAGGTTTCTGTCCTCAAGGAGCTTACATTCTGTATCTGTGAAGGCCACAACATGCCAACAAATAAGCAAAAGATGGTTTCAGATCGTGGTGAGTGCCTCCAAGGAAATAAGGTTTTGACCATGTATGGCAGAGGTGAAAATAAAGAACACATCTCTGAAGAAATAACATTGGTGGGAATGGATGAAAAAGAATCAATTATGTTAAGATATGAGGCAAAATGTTGCAAGAACAAATGCAAAGACCATTAGATAGAAAGAGCTTAGCATTTGACAGGAGTATTCTGGAGGTCAGTGTGGCTGGAGCAGAGTGAGAAGAACGAAGAAAGTTGGAGTAAACAAGAAGTTGGTTCATATGGGGTCACATAAACCACGGTAGAGGTTTAGTTTATTCAGTGACACCATTTAGGGGCCTATTGTAATGTCCAGGTGAAAGGTGATAAAAATTTGGAGGTGGAAGTAGATACAGAGATTAATTTGAAACAGCTTGAAGATACAACTAATATGATTTGCTGATGGATTAAATGTGGAGCAAGGAAAAGAAAAAAACAAGGATGACTCCGGTTTTTGGCTTGAGCAATTGGATAAATGGTGGCCCTATTTGCTCAGAATGCAAAGAGTTCAAGAGAAACAGGTTTAGGAAAATAAAATTGAGATGTCTATTAAAATATGTGGAGATATCAAGAGTAACTGCATATTTAAATGTGAAAATCAAGAGAGCTGTCAGGACTAAAGTTATAAAATTGAACCTTTTCAGCATTTGCATGGTAATTAAAGCCATGGGAGCAAATGAGGTCATCCAGGAAGAGTAAAGAGAAGGAAAAAAGGTCAAAAATGGACTTTTGAGGTAATTCTACATTTAGATAGAGGTAGAGGATGAAGAACCAACAAAACAGCCAGAGAAATGGCAGCCCAAAATGTAGGAGAAAAACTAGGTGACTAGTAGTTTAAAAACCAAGAGAAGACAGTGATTCAAGAATGGAGCAGTCAATTTGTGTTGAAATCCCACCAAGAGATTGAATAATATGAGAATAGTTACATAGTCACTGGCTTTGACAGCAAGGTCTTAGTGACTATGTCAAGATCATTCTTTGGAGAAATGGGGATGGAAGGCCAATTGGAGCAGGTTGAAGAGTGAATGGAAGAGAGACAGTGGAAAGAAATATGTGCTGCTGAATTTATTAAGTTTTACAATGAAGGAGAATAGGAAAATGCATGGTAGTTAAAAGGAGATATGAGGTCAAAGGTTAATTTTTCCATATTGAGAAGAGATAGAACATGTTTGTATGCTTTTCTGATTGGGCCAATGAAGAGAAACAAATTAATGACATAGGAGGGAAAAATAAGAAAAAAATTATAAATTAATTGAAGAAGGAGAGCCCTTGAAAAGAAGAAATAGGATGCAGGGCATGGGAATATGTGTGTGAGCAGATGATTTGCCTCTGATAGGACACTTCTATTGGAATACACATGTGTCTCAAGCACATACATTTGTATTTACACATCGTGCAGCTCTAGTCAGCAGTAGAAGGATTTGTTTGAAATGGAAGGGAAACTATTTCTGGAGGTGAATAATCAGAAGTGTCCCAAAATAATGAGCCATGCTGATTCAGGTCCCTTCCTGTAGTCCAGCCCAGATCAATACCTAGATACTGGTATCTTCCTTAAAGTCCCTCCTCGTTTTATTTTAAGCCATTGCTAAAAGCATTTTTACTTAAAAAAAAAATTATAAGTCTGTTTTGGGTATCTGTTTCCATAGAAACAAATATAACTACACAAATTCGGCGTTATTCTCCATCAATTCAAGTTGGAGAGAAAGGATAGGCTCTCGTTAGAAAGAATTCTCCACAAACCGCAAATATTTGTTGATTGTCAAATTGGATGCAGCTGATCACCAATAAGAAATAGCTTTGTTGTATTAATGTCCTATATCCTTCTTTACATAAACCAAAAGATTCAAACAACATAACTCATTGGAGACACTGGACATCCCATCACCCTCATTCTCTTCCCTTTTTCTGGTTTCAGCATGTATAGTCTGTGGAAAATTACTGCTTTTACTCAGAACAGTCTCTCACAAATGAGTCCCTTGGAGTAAATAAAAGATGGAACATTTTTGCCTTTCGGAAGCCCAAGACGTTGGCTGCTTTTGTGGACAGCATGATCTAATCCCATAGAAAAAAGTGCCTCAATGTTGCTTTCAGTGATTTGGGTACCTGTGATGTACAAACAAGAAGGAAATGGAAAAAAAAAAAGAACAATTCCACTCTATTGAACAAATTGCTGTCTTATCAAAGCAAATGTTAAACATTTCCTACAGTTATATGTGCAAACATTCCAATTTATAAGAAAAGATTTTTCCCAAAGGGGTATGTTGACCTTTCCAAGTTGAGCTGTTCAGAAGAGGGGAAAAAAATGCAATGTACTCAGATGCCAAGCGTTTCTGACATTTGTGGCAGAAGAAAAAGCAAGTCTGTGATTTGCATTCATCATTTGCCCTGCCTAAGTAGTGGTTGGGTCTGATATGTTTTTCTCTTGAGGGTTTTTCATTTTAAAAGATTTGGGGTAGTTTCCCTTTCCATTTTGTGTCAGTGTGCACTTGAAAAAATTTTATTTCCTTACAATCTTGCCAGGCGAAAAGTGCACAATGAGGCAGTAGCCTAGTAACAATCAAATTTTCAAAGAATGTCAACAAAGTCTCAATTATCCTGCCTGAACAAAAACAATTAGCAAGTCCAAATAGAATAAAACAGGTTTATATCAGGTAATTATTTTAAACCCACTAGAAGATAATGCACTGCTGTGACTGCTGATTTTCCCACAATAATGATGGTGGTTATAACTAATGGTTACAATAATAACTCCAAAGAATTCTAAGTAAAAAAGGTTTAAGGGCTACTTAGAAGAGTTTTGTTAAAATATTGAAATATTTTAGTAGCATTTATTTTTGTTGAAAAATATACTTTAATAAGTATTTTAGACATTTAAAAACCCCTATATATAAAACACATAGAAATGTAGTTTTTGGAACATAGACATCAGGCTGGGAGCCCAGCCATTGGCCTCCCTCTGGCCCCCTGCAGGGGTTCTGGTATCACTTCTGAGAACATCTTGCATATCATTTCCCTATATACCAGGTTCTTTGAAAACTTCCAGTTCATGTAAGATCTCATATACGAAAACTGGTAGTTAATTGAAATACTGCTCTGGTTAATGCTGAAGACATGTTTGTCTATTGCCCTAAATAAAGGAATGCTTAATGGAATTTTTCTAAACCTTTGTTATAAAATGTTGCCTGCCAGTGCCCTATTAGTTTAACTTATTCTCTCTGAGTATAGAAGCCATGTAAGTATCTGAGACTATCATGATAACAGATGACGTATTATAAAATCAAGTCTGGCTCCCCTTGTTAATATCAAAGGTAGGTATCATGGCTTTCTCTAATTTGATGGTGCAGTTAAGAACCTCCCTCCCTTCCTCACAATTTACATAGCTCCCAGTGTTTGAAATGATTTGCCAGCCTCGCTTTCCACAGTAAACAATAGGTGCTGGCATTTTAAACTGACCTTCAATTCTTCTGAACCAGCACATTATTTCTGGCTTGTTAGTTGTATACAGAAAATGAAAAACGAAAGCAGACAGTAATTTTTACAACTCCCATTGAAAGCTGTAAATAGACAAGTTTTAAAAATGATCATCCATGCACTGTCTCACTCCATAAGGGCTCCTTCTAATCAAGACAGATTAGGTAATTACAAGGTTCAGATGCACTGCAGAGCCTCACAAAACAATAAAAGCACTTGTATTTTCATGTTTTAAACTTAATGTGACAAGTTAAATATATCTATATTCTTATGCACATCTTCATTTAACACTGCAATAAAATGCTGAGTTAATTTCAGAGGCCACTATATCTAATGATGGTGTTGTTTTTCTCTCTAAAGCAGGTAAGCACTGCATTTATTCAGGAATAGTCAACAGGTTTGAAAATGGCATTGCTGTATAAGGATTCAAATTAAGGTTTGAATATTTTGACAAATAAAACTAATTATGGGTAGTAGTTAATATCTTATAAGGAGCCAAAATTGGTCCAAGAATAAGTCAACATACCGCTGATCAGAGTATGTTCTTTGAATTTTCTATACAAGGAGGTGTTTTCTTCTGTGCCACTCATTCAACCAAATCCTAAAGACAGTCGTTAATAAGATAACTAGATAAGGTTAGGGACAGTTTGTAGCAGGAAGGACTCTAGGTATGATACTGGTCTGCACAGGCATAGAACCTGTGGCCTTGACCTCGTCAGAATTATGACCCAATCGAGTGAGCTAATTGGCTTATTTCTTCAGATGTGTGAATATAAACCACATTTCATTTTGCCTTGATTATCTGACGCAAATAAACTGCAAATACGTAATTATATGGCATTGATATTCACCTACAGTTGTCATTTGTGTGAAAATAAAAACCAAGCTAATTTTCTTCATATTTATCAAATTATTAGAAAACACAAATGGGTATTATATACTATAATTTGTAATGCTATCTTCATTAGAATTAGGAGAAACTTTAAAAGGCTTTTGGGCAGCTCATAGTTTCATCAGAAGAGGACTTAGAAATCACAGTCCACATACACTGTTGACTAACCACTATTATAACGTCCTCTCAAAGCTTGCTATTTTCCATTCCATTAATCAAGTATACAATTTATTTTCTAAGCTTGGTTTCCTTATATGTGAGATAAGGGTAAGATCTCTCTTACAGGATTGCTAAGAGTCACTGATACAATTAGTCAAAGACTGAGACGTACAATAAATGTTCTCTTTCTTGCTAAATTTCGAGTTCAATTTAAGGGTGTATAAAATACTGCAAGATTAGGCAACTTCTCCCACTCTTTACAGGGAAGGGGCTGCCAGTACCACTGCATGGTGAGATGTGGTAAGTATACAGGGCCTCATAGCGACTTCCAATTATTGAGTGCTTATACTGAACACTTACATACAGTCTCAGCCCTTATAACCATTTCCATTTAAAAGATTTGCAAACTCTGGCAATTTGTTTAATGCTGTACTATTTCTACAGCAGCTCTGAGAATTCTGGGAATTTCTGAGAGCTGGTGTGACCTGATCAATGTATATAAGGAAAGCATCTACAGAAAGAACCCCTGAAATGAAGTACCCTGAAAGAGTAGGCTAGGATTATCTTGCACTGGCTCTAGACTTTCAGTGAGCTTCTCTGCAAAAGTTTCTGTTGGTGAACTAGCAGAGTCAGCAGCAGGTATGAAAGGATAGGAACAAAATCTGTTGTATGACAGTAAAAGATGGTAAGGGAGGTCCCTAGAACAGTGTTTCTTTCAAGCTATAGAAGATTGAAGGTGTCTGGTGAAAAAGCATCTTACTAGCTCTCAAAACTTACTCTGGTTACTGAGAATTCCCAATGGTAGTGACCAAGAGGGATGGAAGAAAAAAGTAGAAGGCAATATAAAAAAAAAAAAACAGTTGAGTACAAAAGGAGTTGCCTAGCTGTGCTATTGCTGTGAGCTTGGGGCAGTTTTGGTTAAAGAAAAGTAAAAGAAATTACACAAAGAAAAAAATAAATTCCTTCATACTGTATTAGGACAGAGCAATACAAATTAGAAAAAAAAAAGATATAAATGACAAAAACAAGTTATTAGCTACTAAATATACCCTTGATGAACCCACTATCTTCTTCAGCCCTCCAGTTCACCTAATCTGTAGGGTCTAGCCCACTCCCAACCTCCCAGCATGGATCCATCCAGAACTCTGTCGTGTTTGCTTACGTACCCAATTAAAGATTTCCTTTGAGCAAGAGGCTTAAGGAGTATGAAAATCATTGTTGATTATTCCAAATCTGAACTTCATAGGATCAAACGAGTATGTTAGCTCTGTCTGGTTCAAATCATCCTTTAGTTAACATACCATTCTCAACAAAATTCAGGCTTTTTGGAACACTGACTATGGTTAGGTTTATACCATGGTGGTAGCTTGTAGAGTGGTGTTGAAAGCTCAATCCAGATGCTGGTTTCTATAGTTACCTTCTGCCCAATCACCAATCTTCATCTAGAAACAACCTAGGAAAAACCCAGAGGTGAGTACACGTCAAAACTGAGAAATTCAGATGCAGAATTTTAAATTTTCAGTTCTAAAATGTCAACTCAAATATGCTACACTAAAAGAAGAGCCGAATAGAGGATATCCCTAGGTAAAGCTTAAGAATAAGAAATGGCTAGAAACCATGAAATGTCTGCATAAAAAAAAACTACAAAGTAAGTTTCACATGTCTTTGATTACTTGTTAGCACATGAAATGTACAATTTTGGTAAACAATTAAAACTTCACTAATTCTATGTAAGCCTACCAGTATTTCTTATTACTTCTAATAAGCATCTAAAACTGACAATTCTTTATTGAAATCAAGAAAACAAAAGTGATAAACCATAAACTTAGTAGCTAAAGGAGACAGTTTGCTATCATGAAGTTTTTGTCATACGCATTTAACTCAGTGACTACTTTTGGGACCACAGTATACCCAACTTAATACAGGAATTTAGTTTACATGTCAATAGACGTAAACTAAATTCCAGAATTATCTGTTCTACAAGAAAAATCTGTTTCTTCCTAATTAATCATACTAACTATAATTTCGAATCAGTCTTTATTTCTAAATAATCAAAAACCAAAAAGCCAACCAACAACAAAAAAAACCTCACACACCTGAAAATCATGACCAAAGCAAACTTAACTACTTTTCAGCTACTGGGGAAAAGCAATACAAGTAATTGAGCTAAAGGAGGTGATCCTCTAAGAACCCCAAATTTAGAGAAGCCATGTTGTATTCCCATAATAACTAAATATAAATACAAAGAAGGAAGGGAATACATTATTAAAACTTTGAGCTCAATTCTATTTAAGTTGGGAGTTTATTAGTAGAAATGCTAATGAATATAACTGGAAATATAATTTGGGGCTATAAAATGCTCTGTACCAAAGTTAAATTTCATCTTATTCTGTAATCACATTTAGTCTGGAAGCTTGGGCTCAGGGCTCAAAGGGTTCTCATTGCATAACTCATGATTTTTTTATGAAATATCACTTTAAGAAAAATATATTAGCAATGTTTGGCCTATGGAGTATCTATGACATTTTAAAGTCTCACATAGTGTCAATTCTAGGCAATAACTTAAGAAAGTAAGTCTTTCAAACCAACAAAGATCAAAAGAGACAAAGAAGGCCATTAAATAAGGGTAAAAAGATCAATCCAACAGGAAGAACTAACTATCCTAAATATATACGCCCCCAACACAGAAGCATCCAGATACATAAAGCAAGTTCTCAATGACCTAAAACGAGATTTAGGCTCCCACACAATAATAGTGGGAGACTTCAATACTCCACTGTCAATATTAGACAGATCAACGAGACAGAAAATTAACAAGGATATCCAGGACTTGAATGCAGAGCTGGACCAAGTGGATCTAATAGACATAAACAGAACGCTCCATCCCAAATCCACAGAATATACATTTTTCTCAGCACCACATTGTACTTACTATAAAATTGACCACATCATTGGAAACATATCACTCCTCAGCAAATGCAAAAGTACCGAAATCATAACAAACAGTCTGTCAGACCACAGCACAATCAAACTAGAACTCAGGATCAAGAAACACACTCAAACCAGCACAACCACTTGGAAACTGAACAACTTGCTTCTGAATGTTGACTGGATAAACAATGAAATGAAGGCAGAAATAAAGATGTTCTTTGAAACCAACCAGAATGAAGACACAACTTACAAGAATCTCTGGGACACCTTTAAAGCAGTATTGAGAGGGAAATTTATTGCAATAAATGCCCACCAGAGAAGAGAGGAAAGGTCTAAAATTGACAGCCTATAATCAAAATTGAAAGAACTAAAGGAGCAAGATAAAAAAAACTCAAAAGCTAGCAGCAAGAGATAACTATGATCACAGCCGATCTGAAGGAGATAGAGACACAAAAAACCCTTCAAAAAATCAATAAATCCAGGAGCTGGTTTTTTGAAAAGATCAACAAAATAGACCAGTAGCCAGATTAATAAAAAAGAAAAGGGAGAAGAATCAAATAGATGCAATAAAAAACGATAAAGGGGATATCGCCACTGATTCCACGGAGATACAAACTACCATCAGAGATTACTACAAACAGCTCTACTCACATAAACCAGTAAACCAGGAAGAAATGGATAAATTTCTAGCCACTTGCACTCTACCAAAACTAAACCAGGAGGAAGCTAAAACCCTGAATAGATCAATAACAAGGACTGAAGTAGAGGCAGCAATCGATAGCCTACCAACCAAAAAAAGTCCAGGTCCAGACAGGTTCACAGCTGAATTCTACCAGACGTACAAAGAGGAGCTGGTTCCATTCCTTCTGAAACTGTATCAAACAATACAAAAGGAGGGAATCCTCCCTAACTCATTTTATGAGACCAACATCATCCTGATACCAAAACCAGGCAGAGACTCAACTAAAAAGGAAATTTCAGGCCAATATCCATGATGAACATCGATGCAAAAATCTTCAATAAAATACTGGCAAACAGATTGCAACAGCACATCAAGGAGCTTATCCATCACGACCAAGTAGGCTTCATCTCGGGGATACAAGGCTGGTTCAACATAAGGAAATCCATAAATGTAATCCATCACATAAATGGAACCAAAGACAAAAACCACATGATTATCTCAATAGATGCAGAGAAGGTCTTCAATAAAATTCAACAGCCCTTCATACTAAAAACTCTCAATAAACTAGGTATTGATGGAACGTATCATAAAATGATAAAAGCTATATATGACAAACCTACCATCAATATCATACTGAACAGGCAAAAGCTGGAAGAATTCCCTTTGAAGTCAGGCCCTAGATAAGGATGCCCTCTCTCACCACTCCTATTCAACATAGTATTGGAAGTTCTGGCCAGAGCAATCAGGCAAGAAAAAGAAATAAAGGGTATTTGATTAGGAAAGGAGGAAGTCAAACTGTCTCTATTTGCAGACGACATGATTGTATATCTAGAAGACCCCATCGTCTCAGCCCCAAATCTTCTCAAACTGATAAGCAACTTCAGCAAAGTCTCAGGATACAAAATCAATGTGCAAAAATCACAAGCATTCCTATACACCAATAACAGACAAACAGAGAGCCAAATCAAAAGCGAATTCCCATTCACAATTGCTACAAAGAGAATAAAATACCCAGGAATACAACTAACAAAGGATGTAAAGGACCTCTTCAAGGAGAACAACAAACCATTGCTCAATGAAATAAGAGAGGACACAAACAGATGGAGAAACATTCCATGCTCATGGTTAGGAAGAATCAACATTGTGAAAATGGCCATACTGCTCAAAGTAATCTATAGATTCAATGCTATCCCCATCAAGCTACCAATGACCTTCTTCACAGAACTGGAAAAAAACACTTAAACTTCATATGGAATCACAAAAGATCCCACATAACCAAGACAATCCTAAGCAAAAAGAACAAAGCCAGAGGCATCACATTGCCAGACTTCAAACTATACTACAAGGCTACAGTAATCAAAACAGCATGGTACTGGTACCAAAACAGAGACATAGACCAATGGAACAGAACAGAGACCGCAGAAGAAACACCACACATCTACAACCATCTGATCTTTGACAAACCCAGCAAAAACAAGCAATGGGGAAAGGACTCCATGTTTAATAAATGGTGTTGGGAAAACTGACTAGCAATGTGCAGAAAGCAGAAACTGGACCCCACCTGTCACCTTACACTAAAATTAACTCCAGATGGATCAAAGATTTAAACATAAAACCTAACACCATAAAAACACCAGAAAAAACATAAGCAAAGCTATCCAGGACATAGGCATAGGCAAGGACTTTATGACCAAAACACCAAAAGCAATGGCAATAAAAGCCAGGATAGACAAATGGGATTTAATTAAACTCCAGAGCTTCTGTACAGCAAAAGAAACCATCATTAGAGTGCATTGGCAACCAACAGAATGAGAAAAAATTTTGCAATCTACCCATCTGACAAAGGGCTAATATCCAGAATCTACAAAAAACTAAAACAGATTTACAAGAAAAAAACAACCCCATTCAAAAGTGGGCGAAGGATATGAACAGACATTTTTCAAAAGAGGACATATATGAGGTGAACAAACATATGAAAAAATGGTCATCATCACTGGTCATTAGAGGAATGCAAATCAAAACCACACTGAGATATCATCTCACACCTGTTAGAAAGGCGATCATTAAAAAATCTGGAGACAACAGATGCTAGAGAGGATGTGGAGAAATAGGAACACTCTTACACAGTTGGTGGGAGTGTAAATTAGTTCAACCATTGTGGAAGACAGTGTGGCGATTTCTCAAGGATCTGGAAATAGAAATTCCATTTGACCCAGCAATCCCACTATTGGGTATATGCCCAAAGAGCTATAAATTGTTCTACTATAAAGACACATGCACATGTATGTTCATTGCAGCCCTGTGTACAATAGCAAAGACCTGGAATCAACCCAAATGCCCATCAATGATAGACTGGACAAAGAAAATGTGGTACATATACACCATGGAATACTACACAGCCATAAAAAACAATGAGTTCGTGTCCTTTGTAGGGACTTGGATGAATCTGGAAACCATGATTCTCAGCAAACTGACCCAAGAACAGAAAGCCAGGCACCGTATGTTCTCCTCATAGGTGGGTGTTGAACAACGAGAACATGTGGACTCAAGGAGAGGAGCATCACACACAGGGGACCGTTGTGGGGAGAAAATGGGGGATGGGGAGGGAGAGAAGGGTGGTGAGGGATAACATGGGGAGAAATGCCAGATATAGTATGTACCTAAAGTAAAATAAATTAAAAAAAAAAAAAAAAAGAAAGTCTTTAAAAATTCTAAGATGATAGGAAAATCAGGCTGGATGCAATTCAGTTGTGGTGAAAAGGTTAATGGGATTTTAAACTATCAAGTCTACATTTTCTTCCCCTATAAACACAGTATTTAACTATTTCCTTAAGACTGTTTTGGAGCCAAACAACGCCATAAATAAAAGATTATTATTCCTACCTTTGTTTATAATTTAATGAATCAATAACATTATCTTAGCCAATAACACAGGTAACCTGCATAATGTCAGACATACCAAACTAATACCAAAATCATTTAAACGCTTTGAAATATTTGACCTGATGGCTTTATGCATTTGTAAATTAATGGCTTTTTGGAGGGAGGAAGAACTAAGGTACTCAAGGATACCACAACATCTTAAAATCTATAATGAAAGGAAAAAACTATTAATACTAGTTCTTAAAACTCACAAGTTATAATGTAAAACAAATGTCATTTTAGTTGATTTTCAATGTTTATACATGCGATATAAATTACAAGTATGTATGACATTACAACACCATCCAAAAGAAAACAATGATGTGCAAAATCTTTATGATAAATAAAATTATTGCATTTAATGTCGTTTTCATGAAATGAAAATCACCAAATCCCTTAATGTTATATAAAAGTAAACAATACCAGTTCAAATTAGAGGAAATATATGTCAACACCAATTTTGACCAGAAAAATAAAGTTAAAGCCCTACAATTTGTCTAATTTAGGTCAGGTACCATGGAAACAAAAGAATATTAAAATTATTTTATCATTATGCACACTGAAGGAAATCATAACAGATAGCACAGTTCTTTTCCACCATAAAATTATATACACCATTTATTTAGCTAGAAATACTAGCTTGAGAGGTACTGAAATATTCCATTTTTGATACTTTCTGTACAGCAAACAAATGTCTTATATTTGGAGCATGTTGAAGAATATATTGTCTCAAGTCTTTTTTGTTTTTTTGAGTCTCAATCACTAAGAGTTCAAGGTAATTTGGGAGAATCCTGGTGTCCTGGATGGCCTGATGAATGTATTAAAATCAAGCAGTGTATATTCTTAAAATACTCTTAAATCCATACAAATGTTGCTTGTGTTGTGGAGCTGAGATTTCTCCTACTTGTATGATAAAATTTGAAGAACATGTGTTATGAAAGTTTCACACCAATTTTGTTTTGTTCCTTCTTCATTAGCCGCTGTGCTTCCTTTTCCATTTTCTTCCTTTGTTGTTCTGCTGCTCTCTTTTCTCTGTCTGCTATTTTCTGCTGCCTGAAAAGAAACATATATTTTTACTTTTAGAAAATAATGGCAAATAAATTCTCGAAAGAAATAGCAGTGCCTTTTTACTATCACCAAATAAAACGCTGAAAGTCTTGAAATCTTCTAATATAAAAATTCCAAATATTTTCAAAAACAGTATTTCTCTCAGTCCTTAGAACATGATTTGTGAAATAGAATAAATTATTATCTCTATTTAACAAATAAGTAAAATGAGGCATAAACGCTAAGTGACTTGCCCAAAGTCATAGGATTAGGTACAGGGATACGAACCCACATTTTTTGACACCTCTTATTCAGATTATCTCCATTTTATAAAACAGTACGTCAACTGAACCACATCATTTTCTGAGGATACTGTTCAGAAAAGCTTGATATTGAGCTTGATAATCTCCTGTTATTATAGTAGCTATAAACAGCCAGTTTGTAAAGTGCATGATGAACACAGCTGAACAAAACATACACTCCAAAAAGAAAATGAAAACTTAAGACACACCTTCTACCTAGAAGCTAAAAACAAATTTCAAGATTAATATGTGACTAGCTCTACCAAGTAGAAGAGTGGTGGGTATTTAACCAAATATCACATGTTCTCACTTATAAGTGGGAGCTAAATGATAAGAACACATGGACACACAGAGGAGAACAATGCAAACTGGGCCTACTGGAAGTGTGGAGATTAGACGGAGAGAGAGGATCGGGAAAAATAACTAATGAATATCAGGTTTAATGCCTGGCTGATGAAATAATCTGTATGACAAACCCCCTTGACACATTTACCTAAGTAACAAATCTGCACATCCTCCACTTGCACCCCTAAACTTAAAAGTTTTAAAAAAAAGAGTGGTAGGTATTTACTAATTATACTGTGAAATACGTATCTCTTCCTTACACTTTCCATAACTCCACTGACCCAGACGCACTTCATCTTTATTGACTGATTTATGTAGGGAGTGGAGGTAGGAGTGGGATGATGAAACAGGAAGAGAGCAGAGTGAACGTAAGTTGGTCCTGGATCTGAAGGGTTAGGGTGTGAGAAAATCATTCAGGTATGCAATGTTGAGGAAGGAAGCTACAGGTCACAACTGGACATGGAATAGGCAACATTAGGTTAAATAAAGAAAAATCCAGAGTGGATTATCTATGTCTGGGACAGCTCAATGCTGACTACAATGAGTGAAATGTATGTACAGTTCTCAATCATAATGATAAACAGGAGCAGGCAGAGTTATGGATGACCAAAACTCAAGAAAGTAAAAAAACTATTTTTGGCAATATTTTGACTTTTGTTATCAATTAATTTCTGAAAAATAGTTTTTAAAAATCTATTTTTTATCACTCTGATCACTTTCAAGAAAAACTAATTATCTAAACTAAAAAATGTCAAACAGAAGAAAAAGAGAGGTAGAAAAAAAAAAAACTATAAAGGGCTAGCTAGGTTATAAACAAGTAAGATAATGAAGCTTTGACCTGGTTACTAGCTAAAATAATATAAGGGCTGAGGATCACAAACACAAAAATCTGAAATCTGAAATGCTCCAAACTCTGAAACTTTTTGAGTGCCTACATGATGCTCAAAGGAAATTCTCAGTGGAGCATTTCAGATTTTAGACTTTCAGATCTGGGATGATCAACCAGTAGTATAACACAAATATTCTAAACTCTCAAAAAATTTCAAAATCTGAAACACTCTGGTCCGAAGCATTTTGGAAAGGGATACTCAATCTGGATCAGAAACTAAAGTTCCTGGCAAAAGAGACAACTTAAGAGATAGCTACAGACAAAAATATATTTTACCTATCCAGTTTCATGCTGGGAATTATTAAAGTACTGGAATCATCTTCCTTAGCAATACTGATCACAGTACTGGCAGTACTTTATAGTGGCAATAGAAAGAAAGCTCAGAGTTAGAAGATAGGATATGTGGATACACTTTTAAAATGCTCAGTGTCCACTCAGAGTCAGTAACAATATATGGCTGTCTCCATCTCTCTTTGGCTCTATCTATATACTTGCAGCATGAAGCATGTCTATTATGGATAAACAATCTCACTCTTGCAAGCTGTCCTTTAAGGGTAAACATTAAGTCTTTAACTACATTTTTTCATTTGTTTTGTTTTGTTTAGCAGGTAAGATGATGGAATGAAAAAGAAAAGGTTTTTGTACAATGTTAAGATACTTGTGAACTTATGGCATGAACTCTATAGTGAGATTACTGGATTTGAAAAGGACAGCCCCTTCCTTTGCCTTTGTGGTTAATGGCACTAATAATTACTAGAATTCCCGAAATGTCCTAAAATACTCAGACATCTGTATCTATTATTTATTTTAAAAATAATACAGAAGTTTAAAAAGATGACTTATCTTTTTTGATGATCCATGCAACATCCTAAGTGTTATAGTTCACAATTTAAAAAATATTTCCTTTATAAAAGCTATCCTGACCAAATAAAAACTAAATATTAAAAACTCTCACAATTTTATTGGCTGAATTTTGAAATGTCACATCCCCTAACCAGCAGGAAAAAAAAAAAAAAGGACTTGATATGCACCCTCTGCTGGCTGTTCAAGGTAACTGTAATTTATTGACAAAGACAAAAAAAGGAAAACACAAAAATGAAATTAGGTTTTTTTTGCTGACAGTCAGATAAAGAATAAGTTGTTTGCTATTCCTATGGTAAAAACAATCAACTTTAAAATAAAAAAATTGACATTTCTGAATTTTATTATATGATTTTAAAAATATATAATTTAGATACATTTAAATGAGTTTTTAAAATCAGTAATCATAGTCACGAGCTCTCTCTTAAATCTTCTCTTTACTCTTTGACTTAATATAGCAATATTAAGAATTATGTTTATTGCTCACACACAAAAAAGAGCAACCAATAAAAATGAAGATTAAAACTTCCAGAATAGTATTTTTTGTAGAATGGGTAGTTTGTGGCTTATATTATCTAACACATAGGGCTTTCATGGACATCATTTAAGATATATGTACAAATGTGGAGTGTCACATAAGTTATTTTCATTTGAATGTGCAATGCTGGGCGCTATGCTAGACCATGAGGAAATGGAAATAAAAGCTGTAACTTCTGACCTAGAGGAATATATAGTGGTGGCCTACATTTCACAGTAGGACATATCAAGCTTGCAATATGGTATGTATCACATATATATGTATATAACCCAATATATAAAACATATATATACAAATATATGTTTATATATATGCATATATAACATTTCATTTGCCATTAATAAAGCTTTTTGTTCCTATAGTGCTTAAAATTCTTGGTTTCTGTGAAGTTTTAATCATATAAAATAGTATCTGCAGTCTGAAATACAAAAAAAGTCCATATTATCTAAGAATCAAATGAAGAAAAATATAATATTTGGCAGAATAGGCTCCCTTGACTTTAAACACAGTAGGGAAGAAATCTAGTTCTTCTACTCAGGCTGCAATATAAATGCCACTCAAATACCTCAGAACTTCTTCTGCTTGCCAGGCTGCATCTTCTTCTTCCTCCCATGCATTGGTATTTTCTTGCCAGGTATCTAAGTCACCTAATTCAGACTACAATAAAAAGTAAAATGAAATTCAGAGAGTAAAAAAAATCCTTTCTCCACACAGCTGTCAAAAAGAGTAACTTAACATGTAACTCAGGACCTGTCAATCTCCTGTGTCTTCTCAACTTCCTTACCCTGTCCTATACAAAGTACAAACGATATTGTTCTTGGCTGCCTAGAACTGATGCATGACTTTCAGCACTCAACATTCCTAGGCATGTCCAGCTTTCTTCTTCTTTTATGTTTTATGGGATATTCTTTTATATTAAATTTTCTTCTTTGCTGTACCTTTGGAATGTACAACAAGAGAACATTTCTTCTGTTTTTTTCTCTTCTTAGTAACGTGAAGGAGTTAGCGATAGAGTGAGAAGGAACTGACTGATCCCAGACTAAATTAGAAATGCTTGATTGGACTAATCTGTGCTGAGAAGAACTGCAAGCTGAAGTCTAAAAACCAGCACAGTCAGACAGGCATGGTGGCTCACGCCTGTAATCCCAGCACTTTGAGAGGCCAAGGTGGGTAGATTACCTGAGGTCAGGAGTTCGAGGCCAGCTTGACCAACATGGTAAACCCCTGTCTCTACTAAATATAAAAAAATAGCGGGATGTGATGGTACATGCCTATAGTCCCAGCTATTTGGGAGGCTGAGGCAGAACTGCTTGAACCAACGAGGCAAAGGTTGCAATAAGCAGAGATTGCATCATTGTACTCCAGCCTGGGCAACAAGGGCAAAACTCTGTCTCAATACATTAAAAAAAAAAAAAAAAAAAAAAAAAAAAACAACTAGCAAAGTCATATTCATTTAAGCATATGTAACTTACTATGGACTTTTTATTGGCACTTACTGTCTCAATCCTAGGCAAAAATGACAAATCATGTAAAATTTATCTTTATTGAAATATTTCTTCTATGTCACGCTTCCTTTTCCCAGTCTTTCTTACCTGGCATCATCTGCTGGTCACTACCTCTCACTATTCCCCAAGCCAGACCTCTAAAGGTTCACTTTTTCTTCCAAAAACCAATGACTATGGTCATGCTCGACTGTTTAGGTAGGTGTGGAAGTGGCTGTGTGTAAAATAACTGGTACTAATCTTACCAATCTGTGAACAGATTTATTTAAAATTATACTGTTTTAAATACATACCCATATAAAGTTTTCATTCCTGACAATATATAACACCATACTCTGCTAAAAATTCTTAAAATATTTCTGATTATTTAATATACATTTCTGAAAGTAAAGGAGTATTTTTAAAGCTACTGAAACAACCACTGACCTTCTTCACAGAACTGGAAAAAAACACTTTAAACTTCATATGGAACCAAAAGAGGGCCCACATAGCCAAAACAATGCTAAGAAAAAGAACAAAGCTGGAGGCATCATGCTACCTGAATTCAAACTATACTACAAGGCTACGGTAATCAAAACAGCATGGCACTGGTACCAAAACAGAGATATAGACCAATGGAACAGAACAGAGGCCTCAGAAGTAACACCACACATCTATAACCATCTGATCTTTGACAAACCTCACAAAAACAAGCAATGGGAAAAAGATTCCCTGTTTAATAAATGGTGCTGGGAAAACTGGCTAGCCATGTACAGAAAGCTGAAACTGGACCTCTTCCTTAGACTTTACACTAAAATTAACTCCGGATGGATTAAAGGTCTAAACATACGACCTAACACCATAAAAACCCTAGAAGAAAACCTAGGCAAAACCATTCAGGGCATAGACATAGGCAACGACTTCATGACTAAAACACCAAAAACAATGGCAACAAAAGCCAAAATAGACAAATAGGATCTAATTAAACTAAAGAGTTTTTGCACAGCAAGAGAAACAATCATCAGAGTGAACCAGCAACCAATAGAATAGGAAAAAATTTATGCAATCTACCCATCTGACACAGGGCTAATATCCAGAATCTACAAAGAACTAAAGCAAATTTACAAGAAACAAACAAACCCATTCAAAAGTGGGTGAAAGATATGAACAGACATTTTTCTAAAGAAGACATTTATGAGACCAACAAACATATGAAAAAATGCTCATCATCACTGGTCATTAGAGAAATGCAAATCAAAACCACGTTGAGATACCATCTCACACCAGTTAGAATGGCGATCATTATGCTGGAGAGGATGTGGAGAAATAGGAACACTTTTACACTGTTGGTGGGAGTGTAAATTAGTGCAACCATTGTGGAAGACAGTGTGGCGATTCCTCAAGGACCCAGAAATAGAAATACCGTTTGACTCAGCAATCCCATTACTGGGTATATAGCCAAGAATTATAAATTGTTCTATTATAAAGTCACATGCACATGTATGTTCACTGTGGCACTGTTTACAATAGCAAAGACTTGGAACCAGCCCAAATGTCCATCAATGATAGAGTGGATAAAGAAAATGTGACACATAAACACCATGGAATACTATGCAGCCATAAAAAAAGGATGAGTTTGTGTCCTTCATAGGGACATGGATGAATCCGGAAACCATCATTCTCAGCAAACTGACACAAAAACAGAAAACCAAACACCACATGTTCCCACTCATAGGCAGGTGTTGAACAATGAGAACATGTGGACACAGAGTGAGGAGCATCACACACTGTGGTCAGTTGGGGGGTGCTAAGGAAGGGACAGCAGGGGGCGAGGTGGGATAACATGGGGAGAAATACCAGATATAGGTGATGAGGGGATGAAGGCAGCAAACCACCTTGCCATGAATGTAACTATGCCACAATCCTGCATGATCTGCACATGTACCCCAGAACCTAAAGTATAATTTAAAAAATTAGAAAGAAAACAAAGAGGAGGATACCATCCACTCCTATGCAATGCCCCTTTATTCTGTCATTTGGGAGGAAAATATGTGGAAAGAGCACTGCAGACATTCTCCATCTAACCTATTTACCCCTTCTCAACTCTGTAAGTAGTTGTATATTTACAGCTTTACAATGGGCTATGTTAGTATTATAATTATAGTTAGGTGGCAAATATTGCTAATTCAGTGAGTAGGATTGAAGCACTTTACCAATATAGATCAAATATATGAATAAAGTTTAATTTTGAGATATATAAAATAAAAAATTAAACATTATGCTATGTTATTCAGAGAAGTATCTGTGGTGTTATATGTTCATGGCATCATGTAACTGCATAGGAATTGTCAAAGTTTGTAATTATATTGATGTGTGTGATCAATTATTTAGTATCACGTCTTCCCTACTAGAATGCATTTTTCTGAGGCAAAGATCCTTTAACTAATGCCACAGGGCCTGGCTTTAGTAAAAAGCATTTGCTGATCAATGAATTAAAAACATACATATACATGGGTCCGCTGGGGAGAGGGACCTCAGAAGCATCTGTGCAGTTTAAACAAATAAATAAGATATATAGATTGATAGATGTGATTTAAAAATATGTCCACAAATTCTTAGACACTCCTTCCTTCAAGAGGTGGAGGCTTGCGTGTGGGTCGGATTTAGTGACTTTGGCTTCTAATAAAATAACGTGAAAGTGACAGTGTATCACTTTATCATTTTATTCGGCTTCTAATAAAGTAACGTGAAAGTGACAGTGTTATCACTTATAAAACCATATCACAAAATGGCATTGTGGTGTCACCTTGAGCAAGTAATCTCACTCTCTCTTTTATAACTTACTGGGAAAATCAGCAGTTATGTCAGAAAGAAATTCAAGTAGCTCCTTGGAGAGGCGCACAGCAAGGAACTGAGGCTTTGTGCAAACAAATGACATTAATTGGTCAGGTGTGGAAGTGAGCTGTCTTTGAAATGAATCCTTTGACCACAGTCAGGCCTTAAGATGATTGTAGCCCCGACCCAATAACTTGTCTACAAACACATGAGAAAGTCTGAGCTAGAACCACCCAGTTTAGTCACCTGGATTCCCAATCCACAGAAACTGTGTGACATTATGTTTATTATTTCAAGTCACTAAATTTGGAGTTGTTACACAGCAATAGATAATATAATCAATGAACTAAAGCATGCTTAAAGCTTAGATAGGGAGCAGTCTAGACACCAGTGCTTTTAAAAAACTTCCAAAGCTGATTCTGATATGCTCCCAAGATTGAGAACCTCAGCTGTCTACTTCTTTCCAAAATTTTTCCTTTAAAAAGTTTCATTTAAGTCAAACCATTTAAAATTAAGTCATACTTCAAATGAAAATACATTCTATGAAGAAAACAATTCATAACTTACTTTAAAATAATCTATCATTAAGATTAATCTCTCATTTTAATGGTAATCTCTCTGATGTTTATATTTTTAAATAACATTGTGCCTCTCTCTTTCATGTGTACAATGAGACCTTGATCTTAGTATCTAATGTAATTTACAATCTTATAAAAAGTTAGGATGGGTAAAACTCCAGATTAACTTCTCTCGAACTGCTAAACCTGTTTTAAAGTTACAAAAATATAAATACTATGTTAAACTCATTTAGATTTTATTCCTCTGCTTTAAAGAAAACAAACAAAACCAAGCCTTTCCCTAGAACCATTAACATACTTACAGACTGATGAATAAAAGGCATATCTTGTGTAGCTGCTAATCTACTAGAAAAACCTGTGTTCCCATCTGGAATGCCAAAATTCAGTGGTTCTCTCTTCTTAATAACAATCTGCAAGATTAATTGAAAAAGAATTATAGGGATATTTTACAAATCACTACATTAAAACAGGCAACCAAAACATTTTGTAATTGCTTAAAATATTTATTTTTAAAATTTACAATGTAAAAACTAAAAAAAAAAGTGTTAATACCAATTACTCAGGCAATTGTTGCACAAATCAGTTACATACTAAAAAAACTGTATTTCACTTTTAAAAATTAATATAGTCTCATTTTCTTTCTCTCTTACTTTCCTCAGACCCCAAAATATAATTAATCACTTTTAGTTACTATATTAAATAAGAACAGGTATCATATCCTGTTAGTAGTATAAATAACTCTCTCAGCATATGAAATATCTATGAATACATTAATTCATTCAGGCCAGTGGCATCAAATACACTTCTATGATACGTTGGTAGCCTTATTCAAAGCATTTTCACTCTAATTAATTTAATAAGGCACTATAGTAATTTACTAGGTCCCTACTGAAAGCAGCGTTATACTTACACAATACAAGTAAGAAACTTCAGCTACTAAGAAACTCACTTAAAGGATCCTTTAAAAATATACAATTTAATGTGTTTTAGCATTGAGACATTTGGACAACTCAACGAAAAAGAATGTAAATGTTATCAACCTAGACAACGTAAATATAAATGTACAGCTGAAACAGCTGAGAGGAAGAAGGTGAAGAACAACTATATTGGAAAACGTGAAATAAATAATGTCTTAATTTTAAAAAGTGCATCTATCTATCCATCTATATGTAAGATATATAATATAAATATTTTCTATGTTTGAACAAGAAAGTGAGCTTTAAGTGTGTTTTTCTGATACAGCAGAGTGACTAATGAGGTAGACTGGAATAAAGGAGAAAGAAGAGCAGGAAGGGTAGTATGAAGTAAGTCTTCCTTTACCATAGTATGAATGTCAATGGACAATATCTGTTACTGGTAAACAAGAAATGGCAATATAACCATATTATAGATAGATATGATGACAAACACTAGAAGAAATCCAAACAGAAAATTACTGAGTGGCTGCTTCTGGGAAGTAGAACTGGCTAAGAAAAGAGATGGATCGGAAGTCATCCCTTCTATGTTTTTTGATTTAAAAAAAGTACATGTAATATTTTGATAAATAGAAAGGAAAATACTCAAGCATTTTGGTTTTTTCATTAATTCCCTGTATCTCTAGGTGATCTTCCATATTCACTTCAAAAGGGATTAAATAATGTATGGATGACTAATACAAACTCACAATTACTCTTAAGTTCTCAGGGTCCTGCATCAGTTTTATAATGGTTACAAACAATAAAATCTGTTTATCAGTTTGTAGGTATTACTAAAGTATGAACTTGTTAGAATTCTAATCCAATTCACCTTAGTCTCCTTGGCAGAGATTGGAGTCTAGAATCTGACCTACAGTAGGATTTCAATACAAGTATATATATAATTTTAAAAGACTTGGGGTACAGCTTAAAGAACTATGTCTAGATCACTTGAGCACATAAAATTCTTAACATGACAAAAAACAAACAATTGATAAGTAGAAATATGCTTTCTAATAAATATGAATTATATCATCTAATTTTAACTATAGGAATCTGAAAAGTAGTTTAATCTTCAAAAGCATAAATCTTTAACATACTTTCTGAGTTTTCCTAATAGTTGGTGTCATGTCCTTAAAATAGTCAGGTTCCAGTTGTTCCAAAGTGTTTTGTTGTGTTGCCACATTCCCATTCCCTCCTTCGATCTTTACACTTGTGGGGGCATCTTCATCCCACGAAGTCCACTCTTCAACATCTGTCTAAATTTAATTGATCAACATTATCAGCCACAAAGGGGTAACCTAATGAAGATCTCATTGATGATTTATTAGAAAAATGGGCTTTCTAAAACACTGTTTTTCACACTTTTTTGACCCACAGGAAAATATACATTTTATATCACATATCAAAACTAGATCAAAAGTTCAAAAAATACTAGACATTCTGATATATTCTATTTACTCCATTCTGTCCATTAAAAAACAAAAAACAAAGTAAAACAAAAGCAAATGCTCTGAAAACTGAACTGACATTAAAACCCACAAAAGAAGAACTGGAACTTTTCATCTAAGTCTAACCAGATTGATTGATAAAAAATACCAAGCTTCTCCATAGGATTTAAATAAGACAAAGTCTCAAAACATAATATTCAAAATGTTTATGAAACAACCCAGAATTATTCAGCATATAAAAATCAATATATCTCAATTCACATGGCAAGTTAATCAACAGATACCAATCCCAAAATGATATGTTGGAATTATCTAAGGCTTTAAAACAGCTACTATAAAAATGTTCCAACAAGTAATAGGAAAAACTTGAAACCAATGAAAACAAAATAGAAAATGTCAGCAAAAAAACAGAAGATAAAACGAAGAACCAAATAGAATTTTGGGACAAGAAAAATTTAGCAACAGCAATAAAAATCAAACTAATTTTATAGTCTACTAATGATTTGCAATCCAGTTTTAAAAATATTGTTCTGGAACAGACACTTATTTAATCTTTCCAAAAAAGAAAGAAAACAAACTACCTGCTTAGGAACTGATGAATAATCAACTGTAGTTGGCAAAGTTATTTGGTCTCCACTTAATTTCCGTCCTCTGCCAGATCTGAAACAAAAATGAAATAATTTATTTCAAGAACTACCAAAACAAGCAAAGTAAAAGCACTATGTATAGTAATTTAATTGATTTTAATAATTAGAGTTACTTATTAATTTATGATTAAAAAAAAGTCATGAATCAGACATTTTGTGAATATTTTTTAAATCTTGGACAGAACAGCATAACTCCTTTTTGTCTTAGAATTCAGAATTAACAAATAAACTCGGGAGGAATATAAAGTCAAAAACAAAAATGCAAGGTGGTTTCAGAGCATGCTCCTTGGAGTGCAATGGGTTCTGTGGGTAAAGTTCTGGGCCACCTTTGCTGTTTTAAACAGGGTAGATTGGCTTTTATGTTTTACACATGGGGTTTCCTGATAAGATTAACTATTAAGAAGTTTAAAAATTACTGGTTTGAACCAAACGGTAACTTGGTATTAAGGATTAGTAGGAAAAGCACCACATTAAACAGGATATACTATAACTGAGTTGTTAAGAACATAGGCTGTGGAATCTGTGTAAACTACAGTTTTCAATGTTACTTCTATTGTGTCTAGTTAGAATTATCTACTTCTCAGCCTCAACAGGCTCATCTATAAAATGCAGGTATTCAAACCTAGTTTTGATGGGTTGTTTGGATTTAATTACGAGACATATTTAAAACTCTTAGACAGTGTGTGCCTGCTATATAGCAAAACATACAAAAAATGGCAGGTAGTGGAGATGATTAGTCATTTACTTCACTTCAAATAATCCATAAAGCATTGACTAAGAACTAATTGATAAAATCAGCTATTTTTATTACACACTGGAAACTACACTTGTTTAAAGAGTTAATAGAAACATAATATAGTCTCTTATGAAATTTATGAAATAGCCTGTTTTATATTTTGGTAGAGATGGGGTCTTGCTGTGTTGCTCAGGCTGGTCTTGAACTCCTGGCCTCAAGCTATCCTCCCATCTTGGCCTCCCAAGGCATTGGGATTATAGGTGTGAGTTATCATGCCTGGTCAAGCCTGGTATTTTAAAATACATGACCTAAGGGTCCTTCAGACACCAAAGAGAAGCTTATCCTAACATAGGGTCAGTTTTCTTTAAAACTGAACATACAATCAATTCTGAATATATATATATATTTATGATAGAAATTTATAGTGACAATAGGAATGTCCTTAATATTTTTAAAATCAACAAAATTTCTTACCCTAAAAGTAATCTATATTTAACCAATATTTTAAAAAATAGAAGTACAAAAAGAAAACATCTATAATGCAGCACCACTGTTAACACAACACTTCTTTTAACTTCCTGCCTTCTGGCAATTAATACTCATTTTTAATCTTGCTTTATCTGGTGAATTTCTGGTCATTATCCTCCTCATTCTTTGGTAATTTGAACACTTAGTTCATTATTTTTCTCTACTTCCCAAATCCTATCCTCTTGGGTGATTTCAAGTCAATCACTTAAATTTTCCATTTCTTTCTTGACTTCTCCTGTTCCAGTGATCATCTCTACTCTATTTCACCCACTTACTCTCTTGCAATACCCTGGACATTTTTTGTTTTTAAATCCCAGACCACTCTACTTCTAGCAGTAAATTCAATGGCACTTAAGTCACAATAGTTTTAGCAGCTATCAAATGGCCATTTAGCCAGAGACTGTAGTTCCCATCCTTCCTTGCAGCTAGGGGGCCATATGACTAAGTTCTGGAAAGCAGGCAGTGACAAAATTGTTGTGTGCAACTTCTAAATCATGTCTATAAAAAAAAAAAAAAAAAAAAAAAAGAACTGATTGCTGTCCATTTTCTCTTTCACTACACCCTCCTTCAAAGGACTCTTAGGCCAAAAGAAACACCTCACAATTCCATTGAATAAGGTAGCCCAAAAAACTTAATACTCATGTATCTCCTAACTGCTTAGTAGCCACTGTAAAAAATACATATTTAAAGAAAAAGCAATGTTTTTATTTTATTCTAAAATAACCACAATCACTGTACTTATTAATAAAATGTGTGCCTATTGAACCCTGTACAGTTTCTTAAGCCTTCGAATAAGAGAGGAGACCATTATTCTTGTTTTTGTTTCTACATTAATTTTGGTGCAGTACTTGCTTTTAATTACAACCTAAAATCCTGGCTTTGCAGAGATGTCACCAAAACTGTAAGTAAACAAAAACTTATCTCAAATATTCAAGATCATCATCATACAAAAATACTGCAGGATTTAATATTGCAAATGTGAACTACTTTGAGTTGAAGTGTTCAATAGATGCTATCACTATGTTTCACTGGAAAATTTAAAATATTCTATGGCATCCCTGTGAATTTCATGTAAAGCCCTGAGGTGCCTCAGCACACATTTTACAAATCATAGCTCTTAAGTATGATCATGTGACAAAACAGAAGGAACTGAAGTTTACAGTTGATGTCCTAAAGCAAATGACTTACCAGCCCTTGACTAAATGCCTACTCTGGAATGTTACTTAAACAGACAGAATACATTTTTGTTGTCTTTTTTAGGATTTCTTTTTTTTTTTAAATATAAAAACAACACTATTGTAGTATAGACAGAAATACCTATTCCTAATTTCACCTAATGACTTTAAAACATCCTCATAATGAAATAATTAAATATATCAAAGTTCTGTGATGATTATAATAAGGAAAGTTGGTCTATTTCTAAATAGTATTATGCAAGTAATTTTAGTGAAAGGTGTAAGAAATTTGAATGAACAAAAACAACTGAACCTCTACTTTCTAAATCTGAAGTAGAGGAAAAGTATTTTAAGACGACTAGGAATTAATGAATAAATACTGCAATCAAGATATTCAACTTAAATATAGTATGTCCTGTCCACGAAATCTGAAGTTTTGAAGGTATCCAAAACCAGTGAGGAGATAAACAGATCAGTTTGAACATAAAACTTATTTACCTGCATATTAACCTCTTTAGGAACGAGAATACTGTTGCTAGGCAAGTACAAACTTTAAATAACCGAAACTGGGTGATGGCCATGATGAGAATCAAAACCTGTGGAAAAGGCACAAAACAAAAAGATGCATTAAATTGATTTGAAAAGTCATACTCCTGTCCTGAAAAGTCCTACTATGCACTAAGAAAAATCTAAAATATTTATTTTTCTCTAGATACTATAACACTGTAAATTTTAAAATTATAACGTAAATCATACTAACAATTCAAAAACCAGGTTTTGAGTTTTAAATGGCTATAAAGAAAAAACCCTTCATTCCAAGTGGTTTTTGAAAATAATTTTACCTAAATCTATTAATACAAAAATTTATAATTCAAAAAAATCAAAAAAGTATAAAATAGTATATATTAAATCTTTGTGTACCTTTTAAAGTTTGAACCACATGAACATAATACTATTTAAAATATTTTAAATATTTTTACTTGTAGACGAATATATTTTCTTATATCCATTTTACAGATGAGGAAATTGAATTAAGAGAGGTCAAATAACTAGACCAAAGTCACACAGCTATTAAGTTGAAAGTTACCATGGAGCTCATTTAGTCCAGTGGTTCACAAATCTGGGCATCTATTAAAGAAATGCCAATACCTGGGACTACCTCTAGTAAGTCTATTAAATCATATATTCTGAAGGGCAAGGGCTGGTCATAGCCAATAAAACAAGAAAGAGATAAAAATTACTCATTTGAAAAGGCATCAGGAAACAAAGAAAAGGGAACAAATAAGAGATGGGACAAGTCAAAACAAATAAGATGACAGACCTGAATCTAACCATATCAATAATCTCAATAATGCAAATGGTGTAGTATTCCAATAGAAAGGCAGAAATTGTTAGATTGGATAAGAAAGGAAGACCCCCCCCTCCATCCTGCCACCAAGAAAAGCATTTCAATAAAAGGACACAAATAGGTTAAACGTAAAAGAATAGGAAAAAATATACTATGCTAGCACTAATCACAAGAAAGTTGAAGTGACTATTTCAATGTTAGACAGATTATAGTGAAACTAATATTACCAGGTATAAAAGTGGTCATTTCACAGTGATAAAAGGGTCACTCAATAAAAAGTACATAATCTAAAACATGTGTCCTTAATAACAGAATTATGTCAATATCATAAACAAGAGGTTTGACATTATTAGTCAGCTGATTTTTAAAAGGATACTAGAGAACTATTACTAATACCTTTGTGCCCAAATTTACTTGACAAGTGAGATGAAATGGACAACTTCCCTGAAAGAGACAAATTACGAAAGCACAAGAACAACAACCTGAAAATCTGTATATTTATTAAAGAAATGAATTTGTAGTTATAAAAATCTCCAAGGCACAGATGGCTTCACTGGTAAATTCTACAAAACACTTAGGAAGGAATAATACCAATTCTATACAAACTGCCAAAAAACTGAAGGAGTATTTCCCCAACCCATTATTTGAGGCCAGTATTACACTGACACTAATCCAAAGATTTTACTAGAAAACTATTAATATTCTATGAATCTAGATACAAATCTCATTAGCAAAATATTAGTAAATTAAATCCAGCAATATATAAATGGATACTACATTGTGAAAAAACTGGCGCTTAGTTTGCAAATGTTGGATTGGTTTAACATTTAAAAATCAAATGTCATTCACTACATTAGCAAACTAAAAAAGAAAAACCATATAAACATTATCAACAGAGACAGAAAAAGCCTTTGACAAAACATTCATTCTTATTTAGAAAAACAAATGCAGCAAAGTATAAGGGAATTTTCTCAACTAGATCAAGAACATCTATGAAAAACCTACAGTAACATGAGATTTAATGGTGGAAAAAAAGCAGATACTTTTTCCCTAAGACCACGAACAACACAAGCATGTTTGCTTTATCTTCTTTTAGTCAACATCATAGTGGAGGTTCTGGCCAGAGCAATCCAGCAAAAAAAAAAAAAAAAAAAAAAAAAAAGAAAGAAAGAAAAGGCATCCAGATTGGAAAGGAAAAAATAAAAGTGTGTTAGTCTATGTGGAAAATTCAACAGGATCTACCATTAATTGTATTTTTACATGTTAACAACAATCAACAAGAAATTGAAATGTTAAAATAACATTTATATAGGTATAAAAATATGATACTCGAAGGCAAATCTAACTAAAGACTTGATAACTGAAAACTATCGTTGAGATATTTAAAAGACCTCTATTAATTTAAAAAGACTTTTTAAGAGATAGAAGGCTTTTATTATCAAAATTTCCCAAAATGAGCTATAGATTCCATGCAATTTCAACCAAAATCTTGGCAGCTTTTTTCTGCAATACTTAACAAGCTAATTTCTAAAATTCATATGGAAATGCAAAGAACCTATATAATAGCCAAAAGAACTTTGAAAAAGAACAACGCAAAATAGCTAGGACTATCTGGTTTCAAGACTTCTTATTATGCTTCAGTAATCAAAACTGTGTAGTATTAGAATCAAGATACACAAATAGATCAATGGAAAGTATAGGACTAGACCTACATACATACAAACAACTGAAATCTGATAAAGATGCAAAGGTAATTCAGAGAGAAAAGAACAGTTATTAAGAAAAGTTCTGGTAAAACTGGATATCCATATGGAAAAAATCAAAACAAAAGCCTTCGATACATATCTGGCACCAGTTACAAGTAACTAAAAATAGATCATAGACCTAAATGTAGTCTGAAACTACAAAACTTGTAAGAAAAAAAAAAAAGAAAAAAGAAAACTCTTTGTGACCCTGGATTAGGACAAAATTTTTTAGATAGAAAAAAAGCATAATCCATAAAAGAAAAAATTGGTTAACTGGACTTTATCAAAATTAAAAACTACAATTCAAAAATACTATTATGCTTGCAAAGCATATATCTGATAAAGGGCTTGAGAATATATAAGAACCTCTCAAAACTCAATAATTTTTTTAAAAACTCAATTTAAAAATGAGCAAAAGGTCTAACTAGATATTTCATCAAAGAACATATAAATGGTAAATAAGTACATTAAATGATGGTCAACATCTTTAATCAGTAGGAAAATGCAAATTAAAGCCACAGTGAGAAATTGTTACATTATCTATTAGAATGCTTCAAACTAAAAATAATGACCACACCAAGTATTGGCGAGGATCTGGAACACCTGGCACTCTTATACATTGGTAGTGGCAATGTAAAATGTACAATCACTTTGAAAAACAGTTTGGCAATTTCTTACAAAGTTAAGCAAGCATCAACCATATTGCCCAGCCATTCTACTCCTAGTTATTTACCCAAGATAAAGAAAATCATATAGTCATATAAGGACTTATATTTGAATAGCAGCTTTATTTTTATTTAATAGCTCCAAACTGGAAACAACACAAATGTATATTAACAGGTGAGTGGGTAAACAAATTGTAGTATGTACATACAAAAGAATACTTCTCAGGAATAAAAAGGAATTACCTATTGTTACAAGTAATAGCATGGATATATCTCAGAATAATTATGCTGAATGAAAGGAGTCAGACCACCAAAAAAGTACACACTGTATGATTCCTTATACAGTATTTTTTAAACTCTAGAACAGGGGTGTCCAATCTTTTGGCTTCCCTGTGCCACACTGGAAGAATTATCTCGGGCCACACATAAAATACACTAACACTAATGAGAGCTGATAAGCTTAAAACAAATCACAAAAAAAAAATCTCATAATGTTTTAAGAAAGTTTACTAATTTATGTTGGCCTGCATTCAAAGCCATCATGGGCTGCATGAGGCTCATAGGCCACAGATTGGACAAGCTTGCTTCAGAAATTATAAACAAATATATGGTGACAGAAAATATCAGCAGTGCCTCATAACGTGGAAGAGAGGAGTCACTGAGGGGCATGAGGAAACTTTTGAAGGTAATGGATATACTCACTGTCTCAACTGTGGTGATGGTTTTATAGGAGAGTGTATATATATTAATCAAATCTAATCAAATTATATACTTTATACGCAATTCATTGCATTTCAATTATAGCTCGAAAGAGCTGTTAAAACAATCTACACAAAGACATTTTTGAACAATACCATGTCACTTATATTAGAATATTGTTCATATTCTGGTTAGAATATTATTAAAAAAGTCAACACCATGATTATCTTGTATCAATTATCTGATACAAGATAACCGATATCTGTTACTTTCTGGAGAGCCAACTTCCATTAGGAAACTAAGACAATTAGTGATAAAAAACATACTTCAGAACTTCTCTAGGAACAGAAATCTGATTTCACAATAGTATTTCAATATACTGTAATATCTGTCTCTTACTATTAATATATAAAAAGCATTCTTCTTAGTGATTAACATGTAATAACTCATTTAATGCTCACAACAACCCTGGGAAGGACCTGAAGCAAGTACTATTTTGTCCCTACTTCAGATTAGAAAACTAAGACACTGAGGGGTTAAGTAAGCTGCCCAAAGACAAAGAACTGATAAGTTATAGAAGTGGAATTTAACTCAGGTAGTCTGGTTGCAGTGTTTTAGAGTCCTTAAAGATCACACTCATATTGCCTCCCTATGATTAAATAACAAGATACATGTCTTTACGAAAGAGATGCTATAGGAATTGAAAACTAAAGCCATGGCAGTGATAGGAATAAAGATTCTAAAAATGGTAAAACTGGTATTGTTTTGGTAGCCTTTTTTTTCGAGACACAGTCTTGCTCTGCTGCCCAGGCTGGAGTGCCGTGGTGTGATCTCCGCTCATTGCAACCTCTGTCTCCCAGGTTCAAGCGATTCTCCTGCCTCAGCCTCCTGAGTAGCTGAGACTACAGATGAAATGTTTCTTCATTTAGAAAATTTAAGAAGACACACTCACTAATTTTTGTATTTTTAGTAGAGACAGTGTTTCCCCATGTTGGCCAGGCTAATCTCGAACACCTGACCTCAAGTGATCCACCCCCCTGGCCTCCCAAAGTACTGAAATTGCAGGTGTGGGCCACCATGCCCAGCCTTGGTAGCCTTTTGAAACACGGTTATTTCCAAATTTTTCTTACACATTTTAGTCACCTATACTATATTTGTATTGCATATATTTACCCTAATAATCACTATTTAATTTAAAAAATTTCTTAAGATGAGTTTTGGCTCAAGTTAAAGTTGAATACTTAAGTAACTACAACAATACTCTTAAGAGTCTCAAAATAAATACAAAAGAGAGAAAAAAATCTGTTAATCCATGAGAGACAGTCATTTTTCCACTGTTGAGAGGTAGAATAGACCACATGTTAAATCAAATCATAAGAAATACAAAGGCAAACACGCATGTATGTGCACTTGTGCATACACTTACTGGAATGACATTTCTGATCATGAAATCTTATGTTTTAGCTTTTCCTTGACTTTTCTTTGTCAAAGGAGGAGAATTATTAAGTATTTAGAATCATGATTCCTGTCATTGGAACAGCTGGAGAATATATGTCATCCAACTTCTTAAATTTTCTAAATGAAGAAACTAAGATACACTGAAGTTAACGGTTCTGCTCAAGGTGAAACAACCAGCTAATAACAAAATCACAACTAAAACAGATTGGCCTCTCAATCCATTAGTAAAACCTTTAGAAAAAATCACAACACTTGATTAATACAATTATTTAGAGTACTGATTTCTTAAAACAAAAAGAAAAAACATATAATAATTTGATATTTTTCCAAAATAAAAAAGCATAAGCAGTATATTTGGACTTCAGTTCTACACATACTTACTTTAAAAAGGATAAAACCTAACTCTAGTAATAATTATCATATGACCACATTAAAGGGACAGCTATATATTCCTTAAAACTGAAATGCTGATTAGTTTTTAAATTACCTTACATGAGCATTACATAAGCAATTACATTTTTAAACATAAGGAGTAAAATCATTTTGGATAAATACACCATCCCTGTACTGTAACATATATTTTTTTTTTTTTTTAGAGACACAGTCTGGCTGTGTCTCTGGGACTACTGGCACATGCCACCACACCTGCTATTTTTTTCATTTTTAATAGGGATGGGTTTTTGCCATGTTGGCTAGGCTGGTCTCGAACTCCTAGCCTCAAGTTATCTGCCTGCCTCCACCTCCCAAAGTGCTGGGATTACAAGTGTGAGCCATCATGCCCAGCCCATGCTTTCCAAAAATGCATTTCATGGGGATTCAAGCTGAGAGCACTCAGTTTTATTTTTAATTACTAGATATAAGCAATCACCTCCTAAAGTCTTGAAAAAAGCACATAATGTAGTTTTTCACGTAATAAAATATTACACTGAACGGGTTAAAAATTATATAGTAAAAAAATAATAGTTGTCTCTGATAGGGCATACTGAAGCATTAGAGAGCTAAGATCTAATATCTCAATCTGGGTAGTAATACCACATACTTGACTGTATGTACTGTTTGTATGCTATACTCCAATACAAAAGTTCCAAACAAACACATAAAAAATAATAATAAAACAAAATCAGAAAGCTAGAAAAACATACTTAACTCTCATAGTACCTGATTCTGATTGCTCTGTGTAGTCATCACTGCCAGTTCCTTCTACTAAGGAAAGGCAAAACATGCACTATTCCTTTCTATTTCTAGGGTCAGAAGGGGCTTGTAGAGGATTAAGTTACAATGACAGAGCTCCAAAAGGTTCCCTTAGCAATGCTCATGTGCTTTTGTCCATATGAGCTGAACAATTTACTGAATGCGTAGCCTAGAAGTGGCCTACTTATTGAGAGGATGAAAAGAACCATGACTGTAGAAGAAAACGAACCAGAGGAATATTAAAAATTTTACTCAACTAATTGAAATACTTTTGTCAAAAACATCCCTACCACTGGTTTACTCAGGTTCAAATCATGCAACAACGCTGACACCTCCTTTCTTATCTCCTTACACCTAACTGCCAAAAGCACCCTATTAAATTTCACAGTACTGCCCAAATTCTTTCTTATTTCCACTGTAATCTAGCTAGCATAATTTATTATCTCTTGTTGGACTACTGTAAAGTCTTCTTCTATCAATTTACTCTTTCTGAGAAGCAACATTTCTTATTTTGTATTATGCTTCTCTTTCTTTTTTTTTTTTTTTTTTTTTGAGATGGAATCTTGCTCTGTCACCAGGATGGAGTGCAGTGGCACAATCTTGGCTTGCTGCAACCTCTGCCTCCTGGGTTCAAGCGATTTTTCCACCTCAGCCTCCTGAGTAGCTGGGACCACAGGCGCATGCCACCACATCTGGCTAATTGTTGTATTTTTAGTAGAGACGGGGTTTCACCATGTTGGCGAGGATGGTCTTGATCTCTTAACCTCGTGATCCTCCAGCCTCGGACTCCCAAAGTGCTGGGATTATAGGCTTGAGCCACCACGCCCGGCCCTATGGTTATTTCTATACCTTATTTTGCCCTGCACAACCCTTCTCCAGAGTACTTTATTCACTTGGTACCTTCAGTTACCGTTTGCAAAGACTTGAAAAAAAAGTTTGATTGCTTCATTATGAGAATGATATGAAAAATTAAGATGGTGAATAGCCGCTTCATTTAAACCTGATTTGTTAAGAACAAAACTCTCAACCAAAAGAAAAGCAAACTTTCTCAAATGAAAATTAGCCCGAATTTTCAGAAAAATTATAAGGAAAAAAAAAAAGCCAGAAAAGAGGCTATAGAACATGTGGTACTTGGCAGGTAAGGGAATAAAACCAAGGAGTTATTCTATCAGGATAGAATTGTAAACAAAGAAGATGTTTACCATTTAGGACTGTCAATTTTAAGAGATACATGAATGAAGAGTTGAGAATAAATTTCATATACAGCCCCAGTAAACATAGCCATCACCTTTCCAAATATTGTTAGTGTCATCGTTTAATAAATATTTGCCAATTTGAACGACTTCTATAGTAACTGGAGGTAAAATTTAAAGGTCTGTTTTCCCCAATAAAAAATAGAAACTCAAGTCTTTAAGTGATTGCAGAATAGAATTCTCTCCCCAGCAATCAAAAATATCCTCATTCTGTGGAAAATTTTCTTTTGTGATTAATAAAAGAGGAAAACTGATATTCATTGACTGTCTACCGTGGACCAAGCACTATCTAAATGTTAACTCACTTAACTCAAAAAGGCATCCTATGAGACAGATATTAATTGTCCTTGTTTCACAGGATTAAACACAGAGTAAGCATGTGTTCTCATGTTCCTACATCCAATGACTTGATTTAAACCTAGGTCTATTTAATTCAGAAGCCAAGAACATCTCATTAACAGTGAGTATTCTTAATAATTCAGTGATACTACCACTTCCAAGATAAATTTTCCAACAAGTTGCACTAAAAAAGGGAAAATGTGATCAAGCCACACTTTGATTTTACACTAACTGGCAGGCAGGAACATCCTTGGGGACCTGTGTTTACTCAATGTTCGGATTCATCTAAACGAATATATATTAGCACCTACTATGTTTCAGTTGCTACTCTGGATATGGAAGCTGGCAAATACTACCAACCCCGTATCAGAAACCATACATTCACTCTCAAGTGTCAACAGCTTGCCCATAAACTTACTCCCGAGGAATGCAAGAAACTAAAGAGTCAGGACCTCCATCAGTCTTGCTCATTCTGGTATTTATAGGTCTCAGCCAAAGCCAGGCACACAGTAGGTACTCAAATGTTTGCTGAATGGAAGGAAATTAACATTCCTTGAGCACTTGAACGTTCAAGACAATGTTCGATCACCTCACTGGAATCCTAAGGACAACCAAAAGAGGTTAAGTTTTTCCCTGCTCCAGTTTAACAGATGAGGCTGACAGTGAGACTTAGATTCACTCACCCAGGATTTAAAGAGACTGACCCCAAAGCCCGAGGCTCTCCCCATATCATATTCTACTTAAGAAACCTTTTAATTGTGTACACATTGCTTCAGTGTGATTTTTGAAATGCCCTCTAGATCACCAATTTGATAAGTATCTTAGATCACTTTACACTTTGACTGCTTTAAAACACTTTGTACAACTGAGCGATGTTAATATAATCTAATCTTAACATTAAATCTCCTTAAAAATTACAAAGACAAAAATTTGAGGTATAGCAGAAGGAGATTCAAAACTATGAAGCAATGCATCCTCATTAAGGCTTTTGAAGAAATGACGTATCTACGAAATCAACAGGAATGAGAGTTTTACCATGTTAATTGAAAAAAATTTTCCTACAATTAAAAAAAAAGAATGCTACATTAGAAACTGATAGATCAAATGTATTGTATCTCTTCTTGTTGAAATTCTCGGTAAACTGCTAGACGTCCTTTCAAGTAGCTTCAATATATCACCATTCATAGAACAAGCCAAGCCAAAATCCCTGTCAGTACACACTAAACAAGTGCTGTATTTCTTAAACTATTTCCGAATCTTTTCATATCAAAATTTGAAAAACCATATGATCCAGTACAGTGCAGAATATCCTCAAACTGTTAATTCTGAAGTGGGTTAGAAAATGCCACAAAGCTCCCAAAATAAAATTTACCTGAACTCACTTAAATTTGAAAAATAAAGGTTTGGCAGCAGCAAGAGAAGGGGAAACAGAAGCAGAAGTGTGAGTGCGGTAGTAAAATCGAACATTCTGTACCACGTCTGGCAACCGGGTGTCAGGCCTTCAAATCTGTGACACCACTGGGGCGGTTAGGAAGGCGGACGGAGTAAGGTCTCCTGAATAACTCAAAAGGAGTTTCATAACTAAAGTGGTTTCATTTCAGATTACCCACGTGAAATTGGTTGACAAAAAAAAAAAAAAAAACAAACATCATACCCACTGCACAGATGAGAAAAACAGGAGCGTTTTCGGATTATACAAGCCGACGCCTTGCGCCCGGCGTGACGTGAAATGCTCTAAGTTGCTGGAGCTGGATGCCAGGCGAACTAGGATTTAAATAGTGGAAAAATCGGCCTGGAGAGGTACGAGGCCTGTAGACCGAGGGCAATAAGGTCGCGCAAATTTCCCTGAGCAAGGCGGCTTTGGAGGCTGGGTGCTTTCCGGGCCGGTACCCCGCAGGCCGGTCTCCCACGCGTGAGCGGGGCATGGCGAAGGCTGCACGCCCGGGTCCCGCTCCCAGTCGCAGTTTTCTCACCCTAGAGGTCACCCTCACCCGGAAACAGTACGCCAGAGCAGCGGTGGGGGGTCTGGGGAGGTCGGGTGGAGGGGCAAAAGGAAGGTGGGAGGGCGGGAAGTACAGGACTAGGCGAAGAGCCCACGGCGAAAGGCAGAAGGTGCCCCAGAGGCTAGGGCTGGGGTCGGGGTGGGGGTAGGGAGAGGAAAGTCCCTCGCAGGCACGCGCGAACCGCACACACTCACCTGCCCCTCCCCCTCCCCGCCCGCCCGGCGGAGGCTCCGAGCTGCCGCGGGCCGCGCGCGCGCACAAGGCGCGCTCACGGGCGCTGCCAGTCTATTCCTCGAGCTCGCGCTCCGCCCGTTCACTCCCAACCCCGCTCATTCAAAGCCGGGCGCGAGCTGCGTCGCAGCCAGCTTTGCCGCCGCGCAGCTGCCATGGCCGCCCCTTCCTCGGGAAGCCCGCCCCCAGCCCCTCCTCTATCCCCGCCCCCTTCGCCATCCTTTAAGGCGGCTCTCGGCTGTCTCCAGGCCCTCACTTCTGCACTCCATCCCACGTCCTGGCTGGCCCAATGGGTGAGAGGCTACGGGTCGGACGTCGGGACTGGGAACCAATGAGCGAGGGGAGCGGGGCAAACGGCGACAGGCACGCCAGGATCGGTGAGGGGTAGCTTTTTGGGACCATTGCGAGCTGTTGACTGTTTCTTCTCAGAGGGCCTGGTTATGCCAGACGTCCCTACTTTCTCCTTCCAGAATGTCTCCCCTCCAGCCGAACTTCTTTGTTTTCAGCCCACAGAACCCCTCTGTCAGATGCAACCAAGGAAAAAACTTTACTTTGCAACAAATGAGGGATGTCCCTCTGTCTCGGGAAGATTTGGACGTGGCTAGACAGACCTCCTCCCCTCAGGTATTTTGCCACCTCAGAGATGCGGAATAATGAGTTTCATTCAGGACGTAGCCGCCTCCTAGTAATTTTTAATTGAATTTTGTTTAGATATTAAGAAGTGGCACTTCACCGTGTCCATGCATTTGTTCCTCACGCGCACCTTGGATTTGCCCTTCTTTCAACCTGAGATGTTCTTTCCTTCAGTGCTTCTCTCTTTGCAGCCTGATTCTTCTTTTTATCTTCTATGCTATGAAAAGGATCGAGTCCTCAGTTATTATGTGCAAGGGACTCTCAGAATACTATGCGCCACAGTTGCAAAGTGGCGAGAGAGAAGTGAATATGGTCTAAGGCTAAAATCAGTTTATGCAAATTGTTCCTCAACCAGCCTTTTTCTTTATATGCCTTTAATTTTTTTTTTTTTTTGCTACAATTGCCTTTGTTCTCCCACCCTGACCCAGCAACCCTCTACGCACTTAACTTTGTGATAACCTACCACCACCGTCCTCATTTCATTTCGCAACACATTTTTATTAATAGTTTAATTTCCAATAAGGGAATGATGTGTTTATGACTCGTGCTCTGGAATAGTTCTGTGTAAAATTGGATAAAATTATTTAATCTCTTCACCTCAATTTCCTCATCAGTACAATGGCCATAATAGTGCCTACTTCGTGGGATAGTAATGCTTGCAAAGCTCTCTTAGCACAGAGCCTGGCATATGGCAAACATTCATAGATAATAGTTGTTACCTCAGCTACTACTACTACTGCACTACTGCTATTGCGCTACTACAGTATCATTTCCGGTACTTTCATTTCCCAAAGGCCATGCAGCCCCTGGCAGTCCCTTAAACACCTGCTCTAACTTTAATCTCTAGAATTCTAATCCTCAAATTCCAATCTAAAATTTCTAAAATTTTTTGGATTAAAAAAATCCAATTCTCTAGATGGGCACGGTAGCACAGGCCTCTAATACCAGCACTTTGGGAGGCCCAGGCACGAGGAACACTTGAGCCCAAGAGTTTAAGACCAGCCTAGGCAACGGGGCGAAACTCCGTGTCTACAAGTAATTTAAAAATTAGCCAGGTTTTTTGGCGCGTGCCTGTAGTCCCAGCTACTCAGAAGGATGAGGTGGGAGGGATTTCTTGAGCCCAAGAGGTCAAGGCTACAGTGAGCAGTGATTGGGCCACTGCACTTTCAGCTTGGGAGACAGAACAACACCTGTCTCAAAAACAAACAAACAAAAATAAATAAATAAAATAAAAACAGAAACAAATCCAATAACCTATATTTGGATATAAACATGTTTGGAATTTTTTTTGCTTAAAGAGTTACATGTTTGCTTTAAATGATTTGTTATGCCCCAGGATATTTTCTTCTTTTTCTTTATTCTTCAGCTTTCTTTCTTAAATTTGCCATTTCCAAATGAAACAAAACGAAAGGTATATAATTTTCCAGAAACAGCTAGTTACTGAGTACTTGTTTCCCAACACAATAGCAAAACAGAAAACAGAGCTCACTAAAGACTGCAAACTTAAAATTTACTTTAGAATTACCTATAAAAGAATAATTTAAAATTATCTCTACTTGTTAAATAGTAAGCCCATGACTGGGATCACAAGTCAATAATTTGGGGAACAAGCAACTTTAAGTCCTGTCCTCTGCCCAAAGTTTGTGTGGGGTGGGGTTGGGGAACCACCAAATGTCAAATAAGAGGAATATAAGGAATAGAACCTGGTATGTAAACTTTTTACTCAGTGGAATAGAGTTAATTCTGCCTGCCCTGTGTCCAAACCATTTTGCCCACTTGAAAGCTTCTGATCAGCCTCTGCCCAATCACCAGCTTGATTTATTCACACAGTCAGCCTCCAGCCCACCACTTACTCTCCCTTTTCAAAGCCTACATAGGCTTTGTTCTGAGTTCTCCAGCTGGGGCTAACTCCAGCCTTGTCACCTGACCTGGCCCAGGAGGTAGGAGCAGACTGCAAACACAGCCCTCTAGTTCAAGATCTTTCCCAACCCATTCCCCTGGCTTTTCACCAAAGGGTGGGATTTTTTTTCCTCAAACACAATTTTAGACCTGCTATTCTGACTTGGACTTTAATAGCTTTTTATTAATGAGCAGCTGTTCATGGTTGAATACAGATCATAAAGTCACATTCAATTCTTGATCAAGTAAAACAAAGCTTTGCTGCTGGTAGAGTGACAACTTTGAGCAGACACATTTGAAAGCATGGGATTATCTGATGACAATTTTAAGGAATTGTTTTATTAATCTTATTACTGGAGAATTTTACTTGCTTTCAAAATAATAAACTTTAATATTCTGGAAAATTGTAACTTCTTTTTTAATATTCAGAATCACCATATACTAGTTAGGGTCAATCACTTAATAGAGAAATCAAACAGTCTGAAGCAGATTTATTTATTTATTTTCTATTGAGTGAAAATTAACTTTCCATGAAGCATTTAAATAAAATTTTCCTCATAATTATTATTATAATTAGCAGTAACTTTTATTGCTCAATACAGGAAGACTCAAGATTTAGTAGCAATTTAGAGTTAACCAGGTCCCTTCAGAAGGGGCCTGGATAGAAATCAAGAAGAATAATCCGTATCTTTTAGTAGAAATAAATTCAACTGAAAAGAAGAGGTGAATTCTCATTTTGTGTTCATTAGTGAGGATCAGCAACATATACCTCTGGCTAATGTCCGCATCGTTATTAAACTTATAATAGAGTTCATCTGTATTATGAATTAAGTAGAGTTGATCTGAACAGGATCTGGCAGTCTAAGGCTTTTTGTTATTTCTAACAGTAAATGTATTGAAATTCATACAACCAACATAAAACAGTAGATTGTAACATTATCTTGTACATGAATTGAAAAAGTAAAAATGGGAGACTCATTCATTGAGCTACAGCGTGATGGACCTTATGACTTTGACCTTCAACAAGTTGAAACCTCAGTTTTCTCATCTGCAAAATTAGGTTAATAATTCCTGCTTTATGGATTTATTTTACAAATTAAATATTATACCATATGTGGAAATGTGTTGGAAACACAGCAATAAATTGGTGAAAGCTTTGAAACAAACAGATTTATTATCTTCAAGATCAGTGCAATCCCCTTTAGCTCACAACATGGAATAGTGCTTCCAAGGAATAGAGGTGAAATTTATGTCATCAGCAACCAAAAATAGACATGTTTATTTACATTTTTACATTAACGTGTATACATGTTAATGTACGTGTATACATTAACAAAGAGAAACAGGGAGGGAAAGCCAGAAATAACTCTCCATACCCCACTTCTACCTCCTTTCTTCCCTTTGTTTTAAAGGCATAGGGTGAAAGAGCAGCTGTCAGAACTAGCACACCTACAACCCTTCGCCTCTCTCTCCAGGCTTTTATTCAATACTCTTGGGATATTTATCTCACAACAAGATCTGTTGCCAAGTTTTGTCTGTTCTCTCTTCTCAGTGTCCATTGTTTCAGCACATCTAGATATAAAAATTATCTGGTAACTTAGTCTTCCATCAATTCAAATTCACTTGGGAGCATATGTATCTTGATTATTGCTTTTTAAACTGGTAATTTTGAACTGTTGTCTTGGGATCTCTCTCTAACCACCTATGGCCCTTTAAGGCATACCAGAAATTCTTGTTAAAGGAGTTGGAATATGTATACTATACATTTCATACAGTGAAAATTAACTCATCATGGAATCTTTTTTTTTTTTTTTTACTGTAGTTCTTATTTGAAATTAAATCCTTTAAGGATTATTTTTACTTGAAAATTAAATCCATATTATAATCATATTAGAAATGTTTGATGTGAAAATTTAATAAATTTATTTCTTCCTAAGAATTTATAGAATATATGTATATGTGTATATATATATATATATACACACACACATATATATATGATCATCTGCCTAAATGCATAAATTACTGTAATGAAAAACCAAAGGAAAATACTCTTGCTATGTAGCCAGGCACAGTCATAAATATCTTGCACAAAAGGAATTATTTTTTTTTTTGCTCATAGGCACAGAGCCCATTACCATAGCAACCATAATTACTCAGTCTATAACTGGGTGTGAATTTTATACACTGCTACTTCAAACATTAAGGCTGTAAATCAGGATA